TTTTTTTTTTTTTTTTAGAGAGAGGGAAAGGGAGAGGGAGAGAGGAAGAAACACTGATGTGAGAACAGAATGTTGATCGGCTGCCTCCTGCGCGGCCCCGACCGGGGGTCGAGCCCACAACCCGGGCATGTGCCCTGACCGGGAATCAAACGGCGATCTCCTGGATCCCAGGTCGATGCTCAACCGCTGAGCCACGCCGGCCAGGCGAGGGGAGTTCTTACAGCGGCGGCAGGAGCAGCTCATGGGAATGGGAGCTCTGCTTGACCCACAAAATTCAAGAGTCACAACCACAGCCCTGGATTTATGACCGCCCGAGCCTGGCTTTGGGAAATATTTTTAGCTCATCATTTTCACAACACATTCCACACTTGGCACTGAGGAATATGAACGTGCTTAGGTCTCTATAGGCCAACTTGTCACCTACAGTCTACTTGGGAAGAAAATGAACCTTCCTGGACAGGACGGTGAGATGCTTGCACTGCACTCAGAGCCCCGTGATGAGCAGACTGTGAGGTGGAAATGGAGAGCGAGTCCAACAGGGATGAGGGATCGGGCTTCCTCAAGAAATGCCACTGAGGCGACTCTTCAGAGACGATAGAAGTGGCACGTGTGATGACGTGGAGAGGGCACTTACAGTGACAGTGCATGCAAGTGACAGAAGTGAGACAGCACCTGGACCCACCTCGGGGATAGCTTGCAGGCCACAGTGCCTACAAAGGCACAGAGAGAGAACTCCAGATGGCAAGGCTGGGGTAGGGGGACATAGAAGATGAGAAGCCTGGGACTCTTCCTGAGGCTAGGTTTTCTGGTTCATTTACCTCATGCCGTTTTTAGAAAGAAAAGAAAAAAAAGCCTCATGCTTTCTCCAACTGTATAGACAGTTACGGGGCCAGATTCCCAGAGTCTGAATACCACACCTACCACTTCCTGGACAGGTGCCTCTGGGCCTCTCTGTGCCTCAGCTTCTTTTTCAGGATAATACTACCCACCCTACAAGGTTGTTATGGGGTTAAATGAGATAGAATGCATAAAACACTTGGTGCCTGGCATATATTAAACACTCAGCAAATATTTGCTTGTTCTGGTCAGTATCAACATTATAAACTGAAGTTCATAAAAGATAATCTATCATTTGCATAGTTCCTCAATTCAGAATATTTTATCAAGCTTTATTCCACATCTTATAATAAAAGGTTATGTCTTTGTTTTCCAAATATAAACTATTATAATATAATCAACTATATTCTTTCAAACTTCATTTCGCTCTTCACCCTTGCTATCCAACCCAAGATTTCACCAGAGATCAGAGATGAGTCAACACCAAACTACACTGTCAAAGATCATCCTCAGCAGCCTGGAACCAGCACAGTAGCTGTAACACCAGGAGGGAGAGATAGATCAAACCAAGTTGGTGGAGATAGAACTGACAGATTTAGTAGACAATTGCATGTGAGATATAAGATGTAGAAAGTCAGAGAAGAGCCTGAAGTTTCTAGTCTGGGTGAGTAGGGTAGCAATAGTCCACTGTAGGGCTCAGGATAAAGGACAGGCCCACAGACCAGACAAAGGAGGCAGCTGCAGCCATGGGAAGGGTGAGACCTTCCTTCCACAAGAAGGGGCTGAAACAACTCAACAGCAATAAAACAACCTGATTTTAAAATGAGCAAAGGACTTGAATAGACATTTCTCCAAAGAAGGCATACAAATGGCCAACAAGCACATGAAAAAATGTTCCACATCACTAATCATTACGGAAATGCAAATCAAAACCACAACGAGATACCACCTCACACCCATTAGGATGGTTATTATTTTAAAAAACAAAAACAAAACAGAAAATAAGAAGTGTGGGCAAGAATGTACAGAAACTGGAACCTTTGTGAGCTGTTGGGAGGAATGTAAAATGGTACAATCATTGCGGAAAACAGTGTGATAGTTCCTCAAAAAATAAAAATATAATCACATTATGATCCAACAATTATACTTGTGGGTATACACCCAAAAGAATTGAAGGCAGGATCTCAAAGATATATTTGCACACCCATGTCCATAGCAGCACTATTCACAATAGCCAAGAGGTGGAAGCAACTCAAGTGTCCACCTACAAATGAAAAAGCAAGCAAACTGTGGTATTCACATACAACGGAATATTATTAAGCCTTAAGAAAGGAAATTTTTTATCCTCACTTGAGGACATGTTTATTAATTTTAGAGAGAGGAAGGGAGAAAGAGAGAGAAACATCAATGTGAGAGAGAAACATCAATGGGTTGCCTCCCACACGCGCCCCGGCTGGATATCGAGCCTGCAACGTAGGTGTGTGCCCTGACTGGGAATTGAACCCACAACCTTTCGGTGTACAGGACAACGCTCCAACCAACTGAACCACCTGGCCAAGGCAAGGGAGAAAACTTTGACACATGCTACAACATGGATGAACCTTAAGGACATTATGCTAAGTGAAACAAGCCAGTTGCAGAAAGAGAAATGCTGTCTGACTCCGCTTATATTAGGTGCCGAGAGTGGTCAAATTCATAGAGCCAGAAAGTAGCATGGTGGTTGCCAGGGGCTGGGAGAAGGGGAAATGCAGAGCTGCTGTTTAATGGGTGAAGAGTTTCAGTTCTGCAAGATGAAGAGAGTTCTAGAGGTTGGTTGCACAACAATGTGAATATACTTAACACCACTGAACTGCACAATTAAAAATGGTTAATGGTTAATAAATTTTGTGTATTTTTCCATGATTTAAATTTTTTAATATATGGGGAAATAAAAAAGGAGGCTGAGGAAGGGAGGGGCGGTCGATGGGTAGAACTCATGGAGAAGCCTCCATTTATTTACAGGGTTAATAAAGGAATCGGCAAAGGCCACTAAGAAAGATGGGCACAGAAGCAGGAGGCGAGTCAGCAGACGCAGAGCCATAGAAACACAGGGGGCAGGGGAGGTTAGAGGGAAGAGAAAACGAGGATTCGGGTGAGCTGTCTGAGACGACCAGCTGCTGAAGTCGCCCAGCTTTATCAAGAGGAGGGCCGGTGGCATCCAACGCACAGAATTACATTCTTCTGGCTTCTGTTTCTTTTTGGATGGTGTGTTTGTGACAATCAGTTCACTGACCGGAAACATTGAGCATTCCTTTTTATTTCAATGTTTTAATTTTCTAACTGAGGTATTGTTAGAGTTGTGCTATCTTGTGTCTGAAGGATGTTGAGATGGCAATTTCCAATGCTAATGGTTGGGTGTTGCTTATCACAAGCCACCAAGGGGAAAAAAATCACTAGATTAGAACCTCAAAAGACAGAAAGTCCTAAACAGAGAACAGGACTGCATTTTTCTCATCAGGCTCCTTATCTCTCACGAGAACATCCACTACAGAATATGGGAGAAGGGCACCTTGGGTTTAAAGCATTTTTGTGTGTTGGGAAGCAGGGTGTTAATGTACGTTCACTCAACATTCATATAAAAATGTATGTATCAGATATTTCTAGGCCTTAATAGAAATCTCTACCCAAGTGTCCTTCTTGAGGCTATGGAGAAGTGGTCAGATTTTGCTACTACTCCGTGGCTTCACAAAAATCAACTTTCCCTCAGTCCTCAGAGCAACCTTCCACGATTTCACTTCAAAACAAGGTAAGCCGCCAGCCCTCTCAGATCTTCTGTTAACGCGCCCCGACCGGGACCCTCCCTTGTGAAAACTCCCCCTCATCCCTTTACTGTCCTCATCTCTGTGATGGGCCTGTGAACAGTCTTGCTTCCACTCTAAGTTACTAACAACAGAGCTCACTGAGTCCTGGGGTAACGTCAGCCCTGACCCACTTCCTGGGAACTCGGCTTTCATCTCACCTATAGGAGCTCTGGAAAGTGGAGCTCAACCACGTAAAACAAGGCACAGCAAAAGCTTAAGCTATTCATTTCCTCGATTCTGTCTACTGCTGATGGGTGGTCAGGAAGGATAGGTGGTCGAGAGGAGTAGAAAGTAGGAGAAGCTTTAGGACACAGAGAAACAATGCCTAAAAAAGTATGTTCAGACAAAAACAGTTTTTTAAATCATAAGTGGCAACCAACTCAGAAAACACATTCAGCATTCCTACTAGAGACAACTGGAACTCAAATAGGAAGCAAAGACTCCACTGCTGAACACCTGGGACCATATCCAACACCATGCCTATCTTTACACCCTCAAGGCAATCACCTGTACGAACCCCACCAAGGACAATGAGCAAATCAGCCCAAGCTGGGACAGAGCTGGGCTTTGGAGCCAGGGCCGTATGATTCAAAATCTTGTGTTCTTTCTACAAAACCAGTCAACTTGGACAGGCTGCCAACGAAGCCCTCCTCTGCCCACCGAAGGAGAGGATGCCCCAGATTCAAAATTGGTGGCACAATTTCTGCTGCCCCACTGTTAAAGCCTCCATCGTGACAGCCCCTACTTTATTGCTGAATATCACAATTCTAAATAGGTAACAAAATTAACGTTGGCAAAGGCTCAGTATCTCACCAGAATGAGGGAAGATGAAGACTGCCTACCCACGGTGTGCTAAGAGAGTGTCACTCTGTTTGCAACCTAGTGGCTCCTCTCATGGGCTGGGAAGAAACCTGCTCCTCTTGTAAGAACTCCTGTGAACAAGACAATGAGTCCTATGGGTCAGTGATGCCCCAGGGAAGTGAGAACAGCAGCAGCAGCAGTGAGAACCAAGGCAGAGGAGGAAACCCAAACAGTTCTGATGTCAAACGATTTCCCTGAAACTTGGGAATCTGCTATTAATCTAATTACATTCCCTACCCTGCCCCTTTTTCCAAAAACAATTACCCCTTCCAACTGCAAACACAAAGGAGCAGCGTAACATCATGACAGCTGGCAAGGTTCTAAATTCAGACTGTAATAAAAAAACTTAGGTGCATATATGCATAAACCATGGACACAGACGATAGCATGGGGAAGGTCTTGGGAGGCAGATGCAGGGGTAAAGGGGAAGGGGGACATCTGCAATACTCTCAACAATAAAGATAAATTAAAAAAAATAAAAAATAAAAATAAATAAAATCAGATCTGGGCTCAGGCGCCTGCTGGCTGTGTGACCTTGGGCCTTGCTTTGCTCATCTCCAATGGGAATAAAGCTGGTACCTGAACTACGTGATTGTTGTGTGGCATTAACGAGACAATACAAATACAAAGCACTAAGCACATTGTAAGCACTTGCATGTTGGCTGTTACTGCTCTCATTTTTAAGCCTGGCTGGTGGGGGGAAGAGAGAGGCTACAAATGGAGTGAGCCATACAACAGATGCAGTTTCACAGTTGTGGTCCATCTAGGCCCAGAGTGCTGGAGCTGGGCGGCATCTTAAGCTAGATCAGTGCTTTTCAAACTGTGTGGTGAAGGACCGCCTTTGGTTGGCTTTTTTCCCAACCCAACCACGCTGTAGTGCTACTGTGCGTAACCGGTGTGCAGCTTGCTCCACATGCAACTCTCCACGCTAGTGTGACACACTGGTCCCGAGCGTTCCACACAAGTCAGCGCGACTCCTCTGGGCTTCTATACTTTTCCCATCATGGATCAGGAACAGTTTGCGGACCAGTCTGCAAACCACACTTTTGAGAACCCCGATTTAGACTGTTCTTCCTCTTTCTCCTCAATCCCATTCAGAGAGAGGACCTGCCATGGTTAGTAGAGCTGGAAGTCTTAAAACTCAATCCCAGGAAACAGCAGAAAGCTCAACCCCAAGTGCACATTAGTAACCCCCAGAAATAAGGCTGGAAGGGAGCAAAAGAGGAAACGGCAGCAACACAGCCCAGCTGCACCGAGCACCTCCGGGGCGTGTGTCTAGGGACAGGATCCCCTCCGCTCCAGCGGGGATTCTGGCACACAGCCC